AGTTATATGTTCAATATCACAGAGCAAGGATTGACTGCTTTCTAATCACTTATTCTTCAAAGATTAAAATACAAGTGTAAAACAGGCTAAAATGAGATTCACCCCAATGATTTAAAAAGTAATTGCAGTTTAAAGACACCTCAGGACCAATGACCTTAAAACATTTTTACCTTTGAGGTAGCACTATAATGCTGAATTAGATTTCTTTTATTACAGTGAGTTAAAAAACAATGAGGAATCTAACCTTTGTTCAAGGTGGGCTGAGTGGTTTTCTGCAAATCCCCCATGAGGTTAGTGACAGTTTCACCATTTTTTTTTTTAAGTATAAAGATAGCCCTACAGTGTGTAAAAGGAAACCCATAGGAAGGAAGGCCGCTTCCCATAAAATAGACATTAAAATCACTGAGGAACGTCAGCAGTCAAGACAGGAGCAACAAGAGGTAATTGTAGTGAAAAATCAAAACAACTCATACCTTGGCAAGACTGGTTTACAAGTGCTTGTCAATAACAAAATTTCCACCATCAGCCAAATGAAAACAAAGGATAAAAGATGACATTCATGGGTCCTTTTCCTTTTTCTCTGTGCCAAATTCTTTTACTTTTTCTAAAAGAGAGAAGACTGTATACTGTGACACGACATGAAATGCTGTGTGCCCAGGGTGCTGCTGGGTGCCAGTGGCATTTCTTAACTGACCACTTTACCATTGTGAGCAGGGAATATGGGCAAAAAGAGAATGAAAATAATCTCTTGTGACTGGAGAACTATTTTTTTTGCCACTTTGCTGCTGAATTTACTCATTAAACTGCTCAAAAAAAAATTCTACCCTGATTTCTGAGAATCTATAGCAATTATATGTAACACAATTATATATGAAGACTATGGACTAAGAGGAAAAAAGCACATGAACCCTTCCTTCAGAGAATTAAACCAAGAGAAGACAGTGAGTGAGATAAGCTTGAGGTAAAAAGGAAGGACAATACCGCCAGCTGGACCTCAAGGCTCTCAGGAACCTTCTTACCATTCAAAATCAACAGAGCAAAGCCAGAAAAGAAGATGTGAAGCTCTCTAACCCTTGGAAGCTCTAACAGGATTCTCCCCATGAGGCTCAGCTATCAGTGTAGGTCTTACTTAGCACAATGGGGATACCTCAGTCCTGAGTCAAACTTGGTCTGCTACATTTGATTCTCCAAGCTGCAGAGATTTGGAATACTGTCCCTGGCACTGTGGTAATGGCTATGTCCTTTTTCGCTCATGTTAGCCTCTGTCTCTTCCTCAGCAACATCCTCATCCCTTGCCACAGGGGCCCTTATATGCAGGGAGGGTCTGGACTGATGATCCATATGTTAGACAGTAGTTGGAGCAGAAGGAGTTAGACCTGATGAATTCTGAAACTCTGTAAAACAGCAACCATCAGTGAATCAGGGGTGTCAAAGAGGGCTTGTCAAAAGAAAGACTAGACTGGAATGTGTGAGAACCTTCAGGAGTTAACTCTGGCACAGGAACCACAGCCAGCCCTATTTAAGGCTGGCACAGAGGGTGGGGAGGGAGCATTAGCTCAGTGTTCAAATAGTCTTCACAAGTTCTGGTGCTGGACTAGTAAGTCACTACTGAAGCCAAAGTACCTATTACTTTTGCAAGAAACAGGTGTAGTTCTTGTCTATTAAGGGCATAAGACCTACTTCCTGAATTGTTTGATAAAGCAATACTACAGAAAAGGACCTTAGGAAAATGCAGGTTCACCGCACAGGCAATCCCAGTGCTAGCTACCTGGAGTATAAATTACAGCCTTTCACAAATCTGAGAGTTGCAATGTACATTGTCTAAGGCAATCTGAAGAGTTTTTCTGCTTTCACTTCACGAAACACAAGAAAAAAGGAGGGATTACCAAGGTTTTGGTAGGTTACTCATTCTGGAAATCTCTTGGCCACAGTGTCTATGGAAAAAGCAGTCTAGTTTATGTGGACAATGAAAGGTGACTGGGTGACTCCATCATTACCCACAACATGAATGATTCAAATGCCAACAAATAATCTCTTAGGGATTTACTGAGTTATACACATTTAAAAAAAGGCCTTATACATATATTGGAAATGGCCTCTTGATTTAAAAGTTTTAAATACAAGCTAAACATCTCTAAGGGGAATTTCCTAAATAGAGAAATAATCTTCTTTAATTAAAAAATTAGCTGCTGCTTCTATAAAGTTTAAAAATTGATGTTTCAATAGTCAAGCTATGCAACAACTCTGGAGTAGAACAAAAGAGCTCTATGGGTAACAAACTCTTGTCAGGATATTGTCATGAGCCAGTAGTAGTAACTGGAAACAAGAAATGGCAGGAGTTGCTCAGGAAAGTTTTTAGGTCATAAAAAGCAATGGCACCTCCAGATCCTGGCTTCTTATATCAGCACCATGCTCTAACCATTTGAGCTAACTTGGCTACCCCTGGGCTCCTTTTAAATGGATAGCAATTCACTCATGCAAACTACACAGAGATTAAACAAAACAAAAACAAAAACTAACTATAAAATAAAAAACTAGAACCCTTAACCTAAAAAAACCTTTCCTGGCTCTCTACTACTGGTAAAAAGTGATGAATCCAAAGTTTCTGTTCTTGGGCTGGGGATGTGGCTCAAGCGGTAGCGCGCTCGCCTGGCATGCGTGCGACCCGGGCGATCCTCAGCACCACATACCAACAAAAGATGTTGTGTCCGCCGAGAACTAAAAAATAAATATTAAAAAAAAAATTCTCTCTCTCTCCTCTCTCACTCTCTCTTTAAAAAAAAAAAAAAAAAACAAAAAAAAAAAACAAAGTTTCTGTTCTAACATGGGTCTCACTGATTTCAGTCTGTTCTAGAGTACTCACCTTCTGGGCCCTAGACAGGGTCTTTCCCTAAGCATCACTGTGGGCTTGGAGACAGCTGTAATGTGTGCAGCTGTCAGAAGACAATACAATGCCACTGGACCACAGACCTCTATTACATCTGCTGCCATTTTCTACCGTAAAACTAAAGGCAGCAACTGTGAACACACTGTGGACATTCTCAAAAGACAAACAAGGAAATTGAGGTTGTAATCTTCCTTGAGAAAGATTGAAGGAGGATGTCTACAGTTATACAACAGGTTTCTGCAGACCTTATGGGTAATTCCAAAAGCAACAGTAGCAGCAAGAAAGGAAAGGAGGATGTTTACACTTTGGACTTTGTATCAGGCACTTAAATTGTTGGAGAGACATGCCATTCTGAACCAAAGATGTGAAAACTGGGTTGAAGTAATCATTACAAGTCGTCTAATAATGGGCTTTCAGAAGCAAAGTGGAGGTGTGGGTCAAACCTCTCCCCATCCTTTAGTGCTGACTTTCAAGTTTTCTATATGCCCATAACCACAGCAATGGCAGCAGCGGTGGCAACAGCAGGAACAGTTTTGTCGTGTCTGTCTTCTGTGTATGTTCTGTGGCTGACCGAAAGTTTTTGGTGTCACACTGAGAAGGCTCTGGGATGTGGCACATCTACTGCCCAGGGTCAATCAGATCCATGCTAGAGCCAAACATCTTCACCAGCTGTTCCTCGTAGTGTGAGATGTTTCTCTTCATGATATCCATGCAGGGCCCCAGAAGCCTCTCAAATGCTTGAACATCCATAACTGCATTGTTAAAAAGAGGTGAGGGAGAGAATGAATTCTCTTCACTAATAATTTAAGTCATTTTCGTTAAGCAGAACATTAGACTTTGGGATACTGGGTATGTGGATAAAGTGATGTTTCTATATGAATGTAGCAGGACTGTCATTTAAGTTTAAAACTTGCAGAGTCCAGTGGCATCTGCCTATCCTGTTCCCCAACAGCCCTGGACATGTGCCTCTTTTCACATGTTTGGAGGGCCTGAATGCCTTTCTTACAGTGCTCAGTGCTCAGAAATATTTTCTAAGGTGCTGGGGTGTAGCTCAGTGATGAAGCATGAGCTCAGTATGTGCATGTGCAAGGCATTGGGTTTAATGCCCAGCACTCCCCCCTCCCCACAAAAAAAGCATGCTGAAAGAATACATTTGTCCATCTCTGGTTGGTCATACAAACTACAAATTGTCCAGGCCTAGATGTGAGTGAGAGCTGGCAGAATAAGTCAAGGATTGCTGATGGGAAAATAGTAATATACTGACATTAGAAAAAAAAGTATTAATGCATAAAGAATGTTTCTTACCTAAGCATTTGACATCTCCAACTGCATAAGCTGAAGCAGCTCTAGGTTTGTTGGTAACCAGTGCAAGCTCTCCAAAGTACTGTCCCTTATGGCAGCGGGCAATCTCAACCTCTTGGTTCCCACCATCCTTGTTTGTTTTAGTCTATAGACAGGTAGAGAACATCACCTGGTCTGACTCTAGGATCACAGCTGGAGAGGTCCAATTGCACACGCTCACATTCTCTTCTCAGCACACTCAACACTAAGGAAATTACTTTGCAGAAACTCTAACTGTACCATATAAACTCCATAGATTATTTTCAGTGCTCTGGCTTAATCAAGAGTTGGCATTTTGAGCCAGGCATGGTGGCATACACCTGTAATCCCAGTGGCTGGGGAGGCTGAAACAGGAGGATCACAAGTTCAAAGCCAGCCTCAGCAATGGAGAAGCACTAAGCAACTCAGTGGGACCCTGTCTCTAAATAAAATACAAAAAAGGGCTGGGGATGTGGCTCAGTGGTTGAGTGCCCTTGAGTTCAATCCCTGGTACCCTGCCCTCAAAAAAAAAAAAAAAAAAAAAAAGAGTTGGCTTTTTGGATTTGGCTGGGTATGGTGGCACACATGTGTAATCCCAGTGGTTCAGGAGGCTGAGGTAAGAGGATCATGAGTTCAAATCCAGCCTTAGTAACTCAGTGAGGCCCTGTCTCTAAGGATGTAGCTTAGTGGTTAAGACCCCTGGGTTCAACCCTTGGTACAAAAAAAAAAAAAAAAAAAAAAAAAAGAAAAAAAGTTGGCTTTTAGGCTGGGACTGTAGCTCAGTGGCACAGCACTTGCCTAGCACATTTGAGGCACTGGGTTTGATCCTTAGCACCACATTAAAAAATAAACAAATAAAATAAAGGCATATTGTTGGGGCTGGGGTTGTGGCTATAGCAGAGTGCTTGCCTACCATGTATGAGGCACTGGGTTCTATCCTCAGCACCACATAAAAATAAATAAATAAAGGTACTGCATCCATCTACAACTAAAAAAAGAAAAGGCATGTTATCCAACTACTTAAAAAAAAAGAGTTAGCTTTTACCTGGGGGTTTTAACTTCTTCTTTTTTTTTTTCTTATAGTTTTTGGTCTTCTGATATATTTGTATACTTCTCAAATGTTCATTAGAACTTTTTGTTAAGCATATTGTGAGTGAGACCTAACAAATTTCAGGTAATAGCTAAATATCAACAGTAAGGTATACACTATTGGAAAATTATATTTTCTATGGAAGATATCTCTCTCTCTCTATTTATATATAAATGTAAAATCTTATCTTAGATAAGAAGTCCAATCCTGAACTACTTTTCTTTGATTCTGTGCCTGTATTGAACTGTTCTTTTCTTTCTTTCTTTTGGAACCAGGGGTTGAACCCAGGGGTGCTTAACCACTTAGCCATATCCTCARCCCTTCTTATATTTTATTTTGAGACAGTCTCACTAAGTTACTTGGGGCCTCTCTAAATTGCTCAAGATGGCTTTGAAACTCATGATCCTCCTGCCTCAGCCTCTGAGTCACTCAGATTATAGGCATGCACCACCTCAAGACTGCATTTTTCTTTTTTTCGAGCAGGGGCTACTAGGGATTAAGCTCAGAGGCATTTAACCACTGAGCCACATCCCCAGCCCTATTCTATATTTATTTAGAGACAGGGTCTCACTGAGTTGCTTAGTATTTCGCTTTTGCTGAGGCTGGCTCTGAACTCGAGATCCTCCTGCCTTAGTCTCCTGAGCCACTGGGATTACAGCTGTGCGCTACCGTGCCCAGCTAAGACTGAATTTTTGACAAGCCTTCCAACTCCCCTTGCCATGCTGCTGTTGGTCTCACTCACAATACGCTTAACAGAAAGTTCTAATGAACATTTGAGAAGTACACAAATATATCAGAATTCCAAAAACTATAAGATAAAAAACCCCAGAAGTTTCAAACTACTGTTTGATGTGAAACTACAGATCTATTTTTAAATTAGGAATCACGCTATCTTCTAGATGTGATTATCTTATATCTTATAATAATCATAGTTTTCTTTCTCCATACTTATTAGACTTTACTAAATGTTTTACAACAGGTTTCATAATAGGTTGATTTAGTATTAGAGATAACTCACTACTTTAACAAATTCTATGCTTCCCAAGAAAATAAAAAAGAGGGCTGGGGCTGTAGCTCAGTAGCAGAGCACTTGCACATGTGAGGCACTGGGTTCAATTGTTAGCACCACATAAAAATAAACAAATAAAATAATAAAAGGATTCTGTCCATTTACAACTATCTAAAAGAGAAAGAAGAAGAAGGTGGCAATCTGGTAATGATAGATTGATCAGTAAGGCTCACTCCTTCCACTTACAGGTCATCAGTTTTCTAGTTCTCCTATATATCCTGGAGAGATGTCCCCCTAACAGTAGGAAGTTTTCTTCATATTCACCCCCTATATGTACATTTGGGGTGGGTATTGGGGACTGAACCCAGGGGTACTTAACCACTGAGCCAGCCCTTTTTTAATATTTTATTTAGAGAAAGGGTCTCAYTGAGTTGATTAGGGCCTTGCTAAGTTGCAGAGGATGGCTTTGAAATAGTGATTCTCCTGTCTTAAGCCTCTTGAGCCTCTGGGATTATAGGCATGTACCAATGCACACAGCTCCATATATACTTTTGTTTTTTAATTCACTTCATTCATTTTAAGTTGTGATGAACTTTTTTTTTTTTTTTTTTTTTGGAGGAGGGGTACCGGGGAATGAACTCAGGGGCACTCAACCACTGAGCCACATCACAGCCCTATTTTGTATTTTAAAGTACTAAGTTGCTTAGCACCTCGCCATTGCTGAGGCTGGCTTTGAACTTGCAATCCTCCTGTCTCAGCTTCCTGAGCCACTGGGATTACAGGCATGCGCCACCATGCCCAGTTCATATGTATGTTTTTTTTTTTAATGTAATTTCCCTATTTTCTTTTAGGGTTTTTATCTTATTTATTTGGAGGGTAATATTCCTCATAACATTTACTACATGACAAATGTAAAGGCAGTAAGTAAGAGGAAATATACCAAATCCATATCAATAGATGGGCTTAACCATGTGTCTCTGGCAGTAACAATGATGGCTTGATCACATTTCACATTATTTAAAGCAAACAGTTATTTCTGTGTATACACCAGGCATCTGGCTCTTTGTAGCATCTCACAGAAACTCACCTTGCTTCTAATCAAGATGCTCACTTCACCAGATTCTATGATGTAAAAGCTATCAGCCTTTTCACCCTGAAAGAGAGGAGGTCAGGTCAGAGCTATAGAGAGTACTGAAGAAAAACAGAAATAGACTGTTTTCTCATTGCCTGATCTCTTATCTATACTTATTTCCAACTCTACAAATAAATCACTGGCTAACAAATTTAGAACAAAATAAGAAGATGCTGGGGAGCAGGAACATTAACCCAACTATGACTGACACCTCTCAAATACTCACATTTATCTCCATGAATATGCCCAGTGCACACAGCATTGCTGCTGATCGCTCATGTTGGTCTGCTACTGAAACCTAAGACGGGGCCAGTGACTAAGAATGCTGCAAATTAATGTCAAATTAGTGTCCTGGCTACACCTGAGTAGGGGGTCCAGGGACAATCCTGATCATCAAACAAAAAGATAGCATGGATCTGAAAGGCACTGCCTTGGTGAAGAAGATACTTTGATGCCACTTCATAAGCCTCAGGCTTTTATTTTGCTTGTTTTGATTTTAAACTACCTGATCGTTCAGACAACTCAACAAATAATTTAATAAATTACTATGTACCAGGCACTTTTCTCAGCATGTAAGATATCAGTGGATACAACAAATATCCCTACACTTGTGGAATGTACAATCTGGTAAGATAAACAAATTATTAACAACCAACATCACAGTCCTGTTGTGTTAGGAGGTGGTAAGTATTATAGGAAAAGAGGACAGGGACTGTGTGTGGAGGAGGGGCTGGCTACTGTACACCAGTTTTATTGAGAAGGTGAGATCTGAGCAACAGCTAGAAGGAGGCGAGACTTAAGCAAGCAGACATGGAAGAGGAGGCTTTCAGGCACAATTCAGTTTTTGACCCTTTTACTAACCAAATGGGCACCACATGTAGCTGATATTGACGTTCCCGAGTTAATCTAATCCCAGGACACATTCATATCACTGTCCCATGTAAGCAAAAAACACAGCTTCTTAAAGGGCTTTCTGTGCTGCTATATTAGGTAGCCAAATCACCAGGAAGTCTAACATTATACAAAGAACTACAGGATGGGAGCTGACAAAATATGGGGAGCCACAAGGAAAATCAAGGATCCAGAGGCAGGGTCACCAAGAGGGAAGGATACGTCTAGGTTTAAGAATATTTTCATAAAGCAAGAGCTTCTAGATGTAAGAAGAGAGTTTCATCAGTGTTCAGTACTGCTGGGAAATCAAGAGTAAGAAAGATGTGTGGAAACATACTGGTAAGTAAGAGGAAGGTAGTGAGTGGTAGGAAGATATGCAAAAGTGACAGATGGTGAAGGATGGTGCCCTTCTTATGTATATCATCCATAATTTAAAGTGCTCAAATTTCAAAGCTATACCTTTATGAAATTTTACATGTATGTAAACCCGTGTAACCACTCTAGATCAAAACAGAAAATACTTCCATTCTCCAAAAGGCTTCTGAAGTTCTTAGTCAAAATCACTACCAACTGCCCATGAAGTAACATCTAATTTCTGTCCTTATAATTTAGTTATGGCTGTTCCTTAACATCATAGTCAGAATTATGTAATCTTTTTTTTTTCTGGCTTCTTCTAATCCACATTATTAGAAAACACTTTCAAAATGCCTGGCTATAAAAGGAATTAGATAGGCTAGTAGCTATAGGAGAAACAAAGTGAGAAGAAGAGTGTGTATGTGCTCAGGAGAGATTCAGTCATAAATACAGGATAGGAGGAGGTATCGGGGACCCCATATAGAAAAGAATCTGTTAATGTTGCTGTGTATTCCCAGCAGGCACTCTGGTGAGTATTTTACATGTATTTTAACATTCCACAGCCAAAGAAGTCTGATAAAGTGAATACAATTACCACTTCATTTTTGTTTAGTTTTTTTTTTTTTTATGTGGTGCTGGGGATCAAATCCAGTGCCTCACATATGCTAGGCAAGCATTCTATCACTGAGCCACAACCCCAACCCCACCACCCCTTTTTTGTGGCTTAGTTTCTTCAGAAGCTCTTAAGCCTAGGAGGTAGGGAGAATAGCCAGTGGATTTAGGTTTGAGAGGCATGGGAAAGAATGTTACCTAGAACATATGAGGAACAAACTGGCCTCAGTAGAAAATAGTGGACCTTTCTGTGGACCACAGGAAGGGCAGACTCCGATCCCTTTAACTTTATTGATTTGCTAATACCTCATTAAAAAGGATTAGGATAGCTCACAAACAATGCAAGAAAATAAAATTTAAAATAAAACGATGTATGATCACACAATTGGACAAAAATAATCTATCTTTGTGGCATCCAGGAAATGCACTGTTTTATATTTCCAGCCTTGTGAAACTGCCTTGTTAGGATAGGAGAGAGATAGGCCAGTACACACATTTCCTGCCTGCCTTGCTACAGTGTAATAGACATTCCACATGAGCTGGCTGTTTATAGACTTTGTAGGACTCTGCAGGGTAGACAGAGCAAAATAGGATGACTCTCTAGTAGAAAAAAAACAAGAACTCATTGTAAGAATATATTGCTTTTCAAATTTTTGATTATATTAATAGGCTCTGAATACAAATCTCATAGGAAGAACATTCAATGCTACCTTTCTACATTCAGAAGTTTAAAAAATGGGGCTGAGGATGTGGCTCAAGTGGTAGAGTGCTCAGCATCCATGAGGCATTGGGTTTGATTCTCAGCACCACATAAAAACAAAATAAAGATATTGTGGCCACCAAAACTAAAAAACAAATATAAAAAAAAAGAAGTTAAAAAAAAATCAAAGTACACTGTATTTTACTTCTTTGTGACCATGCTCCAGGTACTTCCAAAAACAGTTTCTGAATGTCTACTATATGCCAGGGACTGATCAGGTTATTATATACATTCTGAAATTCACTGGGATTTATTAAATAAATACCCTTTTACAAATGATGAAAAGAGACCTATATCCTACCATAAGAATGATTAAAACCTGTCACAGGAGGCACTGGTTCAATCCTCAGCACCACATAAAAATAAATAAATAAAATAAAGATTTGTGTCTTTTTGTTTTGTTTTTTTAAAGAATGATTAAAACCTAATGTTCAGAATACAATCTTTTGGTTTAAGGAATTTTTTTTTTTTTTTTGTATTGGGGCTTTAACCCAGGAACTTTTTACCACTGAGCTACATCCCCAGCCCTTTTTGATTGTTGAGACACTAAGATGCTTAGGGCCCTGCTAAGTTGCTGAGGCTGGCCTAGAACTTAAGATTCTCCTGTCTTAGCCACCTGAGCCACTGATATTACAGGCATGCACCACTGTGCCTGGCAGAAAATGGAACTTTAACATGCTTTTTGTTCAATATAAATGAGATTCTATCCACATTATTCTGAGAATAAGCAAAATATTTCATCAATTAATTAAACTGTGCAAATTGTGCAACCATTATAAGGAACAGATGCTGATGAAGTTGGAAAAAGACTTAACAAGACAAACTCTCAAGGGGATACCTGGCCAGGGACTTACCTGGCAGCACAATTATGGTCTAGAGAACATCCAGAGACAGGATGAATTACACATTAGGATCCCACCTTCCCTTGCAACTGGCAGTAGGTTTTGTTTTTCCTGCTGTATCCAGGCCCTAGCTGGAGATTTGTGCTAAGCAAGGCACCCACTATCATTACAACACATAAATACAAAACAGTTGTGGTTCAGAAAGAAGTTATTGGCAGATTGGTACTGCAGTCACAGTAGTAAGAGCACAGATGTTCAAAGGAACTTAAGAAAAATTTCCAAATGCTGAAGATTAATGTGGTTTTTGTTTGTTCTGTTCTGTTTTTTTTTTTTTTTTGTACCAGGGATTGAACATAGGAGCACTTAACTACTGAGCTATATCACTAGCCCTTTTTATTTTTAATTTTCAGACAGAGTCTCACTAAGTTGCTTAGGGCCTCACTAAGTTGCTGAGGCTGGCTTTGAACTTTCTATCCTCCTGCCTCCCAAGTCACTGGGATTACAGGTGTGCACCACCATGCCCAGCCTGAAGATCAACATTTATAGATAAGATTGAAAATATTACATTCCAAAACTTGAGGGATATAGCAAAATTTCTATCTTTAAAATGCCCATAAAGGAAAATAAGATGGCTGAGAAGAGCTAAGCAGTCAACTCAATAGAAAAAATGTAACAAAAAGAAAATACAAGAAACAATAATTTTTTTTTTAGTTATAGGTGGACATAATATCTTTATTTCATTTTTTAATGTGGTGCTGAGGTTTAAACCCAGTGCCTCAAGTGTGCCACAATTCTACCACGGAACCACAATCCCAGTCCCAAGAAACAACAAGAAAACATCCAAGCCAAATAGGGTGGTGCACCCTTATAATCCCAGCTACTTAAGAGGCTGGAACAGAAGGATCACTTGAGTCCAGGAGTTTGAGACAAACCTAGGTAGTATAGTGAGACTCTGTCTCAAAAAACAAAAAACAAAAACAAAAACCAAACAGACCAAAAACCATAAGGTTGGTTCTTCAAAAAGACTGAAAGAGAGGAAGGCTGCATTTCCAGTTACTTCATGGCTCAGAATTCAAGCAGTTAAGAGTACTGCTTCTCAGCAAAGTGGGTAAAAGAGGGAACTCATTGAAATTCTATACTGGATGGTCAGAGACTCTTGAGAGACTCAGAAATTTGGGTACCTTGAACAAAGGACAAGAAAGAATACACTGTAGCTAAGTTGGTGGTGGTAGTGGCAGCAGCACTAGTTCACTAGAGTGGAGGGATAACAGAGAAACATAAATTTGGCAAGGAAAAAAAACAGTAGAACAGAAAAGTTGTCTTAGATGAACCAGAGGCTGCACACTAAGCAGGTATTTGAAAGTTCTGTTTCTCAACTGGTGAGGCAGGAACCATCTTGAGGAGCCATGCTGCAGTTTGTTGTTGCTTGAGCCAGGGAGATCATAGCAAATATTTCCATATTTTCCTGGCAACTGCCAACAGGGTAGCCAAGGATGTACCTAGCAGAACATGTTTTAAAAAGGCACAGACATGGGCTGGGGTTGTGGCTCAGTGGTAGAGCA